GCCTCAAGTTTTTTTAACTTTTGCTAAGTTTTTTAAGAGAGCCCATAATTTTCAATTTTGGTTTTTCCCTATTTAAAAACTCTAAACTATAAATATAACTTACTTCTTCATCTTACCCATTTCATCCACTTTGAGATTGAGCACCCATTTCTTAAAAACCTTAATAGCTCATTCTTGTGAGCTAAGTTTTTTCCATTTCATTGAGACTTGGGAGAAAGGAGGCAAAACTTGAAACCTTTCAAGAGCATTTTGTTGAGATTCTTGGGTGGAGTTTTTAAATGGGTAATGTCGTTTGAAGGAGGTGGAGTGAAAAACTCCATTGGTGCCGTGGGGAGTGGCGAAATTGGGGTTGAAACAAGCAGTCATGGGACTCTTAGAGTTGCAAGGATTGAAGGAGAAGGAGGAGAGAGGTCCCCGTTGGCCGCCGCTGCTATGGGCGCGCACCAGCAGCTCGCGAGAGGGACTGGAGGCGCTAATTTGGGCACCCCATGTGCGGATTTGGGTAGTTTTGACAAGGTTTCCAATCCAAGTAAGCGTGCAGGGAAGGTGGTGGACAATGTAGGTGAGATGGGCAACGGCCTGGGTGCCAATCTGGGTTGCCTAGGCGCTGATAATGTTGTCTTAGGCAGTTTAGGCGTGCTGGACAACAGCCTTTCTTTTGTTGGAGGTGCAGAAAATCGTGCCAGGGAGCAGCGTGGAGAGCTGGGCAGCAGCCCGGGCACCAATCTAGGTTGCCTAGGTGTCGAAAACAATGCAGGGGCTGACCTAGGCGCCATTCCAGGTGCTGATCTGGGCGCCAGAGGTGCTGTTTTGCATAACTTTGAAGGGTCAGACACCTTTTCAGCTGCTGAGTTGCCCTGTTTGGGCGAGCAAAGGTGGTCAGACACCTCTCCAGGCATTGGGCTACCTCGTTTGGACGAGCAAAGGTGGTCAGACACCCCTCCAAGCACTGGGCGAAACACTGCGGGCGATAAGGAAGTTTTGGGTACTGCTTTTAATGATCAGGATCTAACTATGACTCCTTTAACTCAAGCTCCTCAAGACCTCCCAAATGGTGGCTTAGACCAATCTTTATGGCCCCCAAAAAAGAAACGCAAAGGCAAAGTGGGACTTGATGATGATGAGTCTAAGGTAAGTACCCTTTCCAGTTTGTTCAATTCGGATGAAGATATCTTGAGGCTTGTTTATCCTTATCATATTTCTTCGACCGTGCTGTGCCATTGGGCTAAGACTGGCGAGCTTGGCTGCGACGACTCCTCTAGTGATATTGTTGTTTATGAGAAGACACTTGAGGCTGGGCTAAGATTCCTTATGTCCTCTTCCATTTGTCACATTTTGCATTACTTTTTCTTGACTCCGGGGCGATTAGCTCCCAATAGTTGGAGGGTTTTGCTGGGTTTTTCTTGTATTATGGAGGAAGATGCATCATGAAGATGTTTCTCCTGTGGAGTTTCACACAACTTACAATTTGAGAGAAACTCTTACACCAAATAATGGGTGGTATTATTTTACCACAAGAAGTGGTACGATGCTCATGGGACTACGCTGCAATTGTCACGACTGAAAATCTTGCTTCTTATTTGTCGGCGGAGAGTGGGCTACAGAAGCCAACAGAGCTTTGGTGCTAATATGGTGGGATGCTGCCAGAAAATCCAGTATGCTGCACAATTACTTCTTCTTTTTTTTTATGTATGTGTGCTCACCATTCTTTTGCAACACATGCCTTGTGCTCTCCCTAGACCAAGAGTGGAAGTTGTAGGTTGTAAAGGCTTGCCCTAAAAAAGATTTGGGAACTCTTCTGCCTAAGGATGCTAGGGCCGATACTCCCTCCCCAAAATCTGGTGGCTCTTCTTCAAAGAAGAAGGGTGAGTTGATTTCCTCCTTTAATTTTCTCTTCCCCTTGGTATTTTTCATCTGCGTGACACGTTGTTGCTTTTGCAGCAAATAAAAAGGTGATAGTGTCTCGCTATTCCAGTAGGAGCCCTCTTTCTTCTAAGGTGGCGAGGACGGGTGATGCCCCCCAAGTGACTTCTACAATGGTGTCTCCTCAGCCAACGACTTCTTCAGTTGCTACTTTGAAGTCTTCCTTGTCGGACACACCTTCTGCTCCTCCTTTGTCCCCTCCTCATGCGGGAACTTCCGCAAGAAAACCAACTTGGCTTGGTCCCATGCTGGGCAGACCGCTAGTCATTAGAGAAAGACTTGGGAGATTTGTGTTCGCACCTAAAGTTTGTCAGCTCAGTGTTTCGGGTACTAAGAGGGTTGTTAACACATATTTGGAAGGTCTGGCTCAGGTAAGGGTCCGCTATTTCCCTTTCTCCACTTCCTTCTTATATCTTTTGTCACCTCTCTACCTTTTACCTTTTTCAAATTTCAACTTCATCTATCTGCTTAATTTCAAGGGCCTTCAATCATAACAAGCTAAAGTTGGATCTTGATGTCGTGCAAAGGGAGCTTCTTATTGCTCAGGGGAGGATTGTCGAGTTTGAGGCAACTAGTAGTACTTCTCGGGATGAGCTTGTAGCGGCTCATGAGAGAGCATCTAAGCTTGAGTCTAAGCTTTTGGTGAGGCGCTTAGGGAGGGTGAGCTTATTGAGGCCCGTGAGCGGGCAATTAAGCTTGAGGTTGAGCTTCTGGCGATCCATGAGAGGAACGCGCTCAGGGAAGTTGAGCTTGCAGAGGCCCATAGGAGGGTTATGCTCAGAGAGGCTACTGTGGAGGCAGAGGTGGAGGCCGCTCGGGAGAGGGCATCTCGTGCTAAGGTGGACTTGGAGAACGGCCTCGCAGATGCCTTCATTGATGGTTATGAGAATCTCTGAGGGAAGATCTCTACTGCTTTCCCTGATATTGACTGCTCAGGTTTTGCGCCTACTAATGATAGTGAGGGAGGCTCTGATGATGCTGAGGATGACGAGGAGGAGGTGGAGACCGTGAGAGCAGTTAGAGTGTTTGAGACTTTTGATTTTTTTTTTAGAAAGACGGTTTATAGCCTCACTTTTGCACTTATACTCCTTTGAAATGAAATGCAAAAGATTTTTTTAGAGTAAAAATGTAGAAAATTTTATTGATCTAGCAATATTTGGTAATAATTCTCAAAAAAGTACATTGAATATTGGATAATGACCCAAAAAATAAAATCAAATCCCAACTTCCACTACTTTGATGCTCTCAAGGTGTCATTGGTAATACCTCTTCAAGTGCTCCACATTCCATGGATGGAGTAAGACTTTTTCCTCAGAATTTTGAATCTTGTTGGTGCTCGGCCTCACTACTTCTGTTATGAGATAGAGTCCTTCCCAATTTGGTCCCAGCTTCCCTTCGCGTGCATGCTTTGTGGCGAGGATCACTTTCTTCAAGACCAAGTCCCCTGGTTGGAAGGAACGAGACTTCACCCTCGAATTATAGTATCTCATCATGCATCACTTGTACTCCGTGTTGCGGACTACATCCATCTCTCTTGTCTCCTCCATCAAGTCGAGGTTGATGCGGAGTCTGTCTTCGTTGTTGATAGGGTTGTGGTGCTGGACTCTTAGAGAGTGTACCCCTATCTCCACAGGGATGACCGTCTTAGTTCCAAAGGCGAGGGAGGAAAGGGTCTCTCCAATAGGAGTTCTTGGCGTGGTTCGATAGGGCCACAATACACTTGGTAGCTTGTCCACCCAAAGACCTTTTCACTCTTTCAAGCCTTGTCTTTAAGTTGCATAGTATCGTTCTCACCATAACCTCTGCTTGTCCATTTGTCTGCGGGTGTGCTGGGCTGGAGTGAAGTTGTTTTATCTGATGGTCGGAGCAAAAAGAGTTCAACAGGTTATTGTCAAACTGTTTGGCGTTATCACTGACAATGACATGCAGAATCCCGAAGCGACAGATTAGACTCTTCCAGATAAAATTTTAACCTTTGCGTCTGTGATTTTAGCTAAGGGTTCGGCCTCTGCCCACTTGGTGAAATAGTCAACTACCACCACCATGAACTTATATTGTCCTTTGCTGAGAGGCAAAGGGGCTAGGATGTCGATGCCCCACTTGGAGAAAGGCCACGAACTTGAAATGGTTGCTAGCTCCTCCGGTGGTTGCCTCGACACAGTTACAAAGCGTTGACACTTGTCACACTTCTTGGAGAACTCCTGGTCGTCCCTTACCATGGAAGCCCAGAAGTAGCCTTGTATGAGCGCCGTGTGCGCAAGGGAGTGCCCTTCAGAGTGGTTCTCGCAAGTCCTTTCATGGATCTCTCGCAGGGCGTAATAAGCTTCTTCGGGTGAAAGACACCGCAGCAACGACAAGGAATAACCTTTCTTGTACAAAATGTCCTGCAAGATAGCGAACTTGGAGGCTCTTATCCTCAACTTCCTGGCCTTTAGAGGATCATCTGGCAGCACACCTTCTTGGAGGTATGCCCTTATTGGGGTCATCCAGTTTGACTCAGCTGATGCACAATTGACATTTGTGGCCTCTATGTCCAACTTGCTCGGCTCGAACTGATGACTAATGAATGTTGGTTCCTCTGATGCGATTTCTACGGATGAGGCAAACCTTGCGAGTGCATTGGCGACCATGTTGTCTTCTCTAGGGATGTGGCTTATCTGAAAGTAGTGGAACTTTGTGATCATTCTTTTCGCCATGCCAAGGTATTCTTGTATCCTAGCTCCTTTGGTTTCGAACTTGCCCATCAATTGATTAACTATCAGCTGAGAGTCGCTGTAGGTGCGCGAGATGTTGAGCTTCCATTTTTACTACCAATCTTAATTCAAAAAGAAGGGCTTCGTACTCTACCTCATTGTTGGAAACAATAAAGTGAAGTTTTCACGTATACTTGAGTGTGGTGTCATTTGAGCTGATCAAGATTACCTATCCATGTAAACAAATAATTATTCACTATTTTTCTATCCAAGTCAATTATTACCGAAATAAAGTTTATTTTACTAATTTAAAATTTTATTATTAATTGGTGATATCAGGTCATCAATATCACCGTTGCACAGAATATTTTCTAAAAAAGAAGGAACCAATCTGCCGTTTGAACCACCAAACTTCGTCTCTTCGTCAGCGACAATATTCCACCGCCCATGCCGGAATGATGAAGTCCGACGCCTCCGTAGAAGACGAAGTTTCGGGGTTTGAAACGCCTGATCGTTTCCTTCCTGCCCTTTGTTTGTGCGTGTCACCGAACCACTTAACCATAGTTAGTGTAAAGTGCGACAAATAAACCATGGGCTATCAGCAAACCATAGGTATATTGATTGGTGATATTATATCCTCAATAATAAAATATTCAATTCCGTGACGTCGTATCTCGTGATCTGTGTATATATATATATATATATATATCTTTGATCTATCTCTTCTGGCAATCGTTTTCTTCATAGCCCTAACCTTGTCACAGACCGGGTTCATTCCATCGCCATGACAGGTCAGTCAGCTAAAGCTCAAGGTGAGCTTCTCGCTTTGTAAGAGTAGAGTTTCATTTGAATTTTTCTGTTTGTTATGCTATGTTTTGTTGTAGTATTGGATTTTGTTTATTTAGTTTTACAAATCTCATTTGGATATTACGTTGGTTGTTATAACAGATGATATGTATAAGGAAGCGAAGAGCTCATATTTTGATTTACCAGCACTGGATGTGTCTGTTGCATTTCCCCAAGCCACATCGGCATCTATATTTCCTCCCTGCAGTAAGATTATTTGTTGAGTAATGTCATGTTTGTGAAATCATTTACTAAATTTTGTATTCTTGGTGGTTAGATCAATGGATCTACTAACTTTCATCGAACATTCAATGCAGATTTTAACATATAATTTGAGATACAATATTTGTTAAATAAATTTGGGAAGTATTGTTTTATCGATATTTTGTTTGTTAGTAATGTTACTTGTTAATTTGCTTATTTCAAAAACTGTAGAGCTATCTATGTGCAATTAGGGATGGAGGAGGGGGAGGGGTATAAATCCCACGCATTGTATGCAGGGGCGGAGCCAGGAATTTTATTCAGGGTCGGCACTTTAATTATGTATTCTAATTTTTTTTCCTTCTAACCAATCACACTTTATAACATATTGATATTTATTATATTATATTTGATATATGAAGTCCATTTAACATAAAAATTTCTAAAAAAAAAATGTAAATTGCCAAGGGCAGAGCCATGAATATCTATGATAGAGGCAAAATATAATTGGTATAAAAAAATATTAAGCCGAAATTAATACAAAAAAATTCAGTTCAAGAATAAAAAAAAAGTAAGAATCAACACTAAAATATTGTGAAATAGTAAATTCAATTTTTATTTAGTCGAAACAAAATCTTAACAAAAAGACACAAAATAATTTTTTTAGTACATTTTAACCTAATTATATATTTCAATAAAATATAATTTTTTAAAATCTCTAAAATTTTTTGTATATGAATTAAATGTAAATTAATTTTCGTATTTTATTAGGTTATAGACTACTATTACTAAAAAAAATGTTAAATGAAAACTAAAAATCATTCTTAAAAAATAACGAACATTGTGTTAGATAAAGAGAAATATTGTATGTTCGTCAATATACAAATAAAACATTGACTCAATCCAAAACTAACATATTTATTTTTGAGGGTTAGTGGTCCACTAATTTATTAAAAAAAAAAAAAAACTAGAACCATTATTAAAATTTCCAACAATTTAGGGGTAAATATAATGTATAAAATAATTTTATAGGTTGGTGCAAGGAAGGATAAAAAAACTCAAGAAACTGAGTTTCTCGTGTGTTGAGCTTTTCTTAGTTTCTTCTCTTTTTCTTGTGGCTGGGTAGTGGACAGCTGGAAGTGGGTGATACAGAGAGGAAAAAAAAAAAGGAAAGAAAAGACAAGTTTTAGTCAAGTGGGCCAAAAGTTTGGTTTTTAATGTAGGGCCAAAAATTTTGTTTTTAATATTAGGCTAAAAGTTTTGTTTTTTAATAGGTTTGGGTGGATTGTGATAGGTCAAATATTTGATTTTTTAATAAGTTTGAATAGATAATAGTGAGTTCAATTTTTTTTTATTTTAAATGGACTTAATTGTTTAATTATTTTGAGGAAATAATGTGGACCTAATTTAAATGAGGGGGCACACATAATATATATGTATAAATATATAATACATATATCTAACTAATAAAAAAAAAAAAAATTGAGGGGGGCACGTGCCCACCCTGGCCCCTACCTCCCTCCACCCATGATTGTATGCCTTGCCGTTGTATGTAATTATGTATATGTTTATGCCTACAACAGCCCCATTATACTCTTTGATCCTCAACACCACATTGATAATGGCCGCCCTATTGGTGACCCTTTTGGTGGGTGTGGGAGTGTCGATACTGGTAATGATAATTGATCAGCCCAGATTTTATTGGGTTAGACCCAATTAATTAACTAAGCCCAAATTAGTTATAAGGCAGGTCAAGCCTAGCTCGTGGATTTGGCCTAGTCCAAAGTTCAAGGAGTTCAAGAAGATTAGCGCACGTGGGGAGCAACCATAGGGATAACCACTCTCCAAGATAAAAACTATCTCTAATTGTACCTATTATAGTTGTAACTATCCTTCCCGAAAAGCTAATCACCTATCCCTTCACATCATTGCCTCAACCAAGCTTTGTGCCTATAAATTGTAAGCCCTCTTCATATGAGAGGGCATTTCTCTACATACCTTATACAACTCTCTCTCTCATAACTATCAAGAGCATATCCTTCAACTTTATCAATAAAATCCATCGGCCACCGTTGCCGCCTTTAAAATGACCAAACCAGTGTTGCTTGTGTAGATCTCACCTTTATATTTACTGTATTTATTACCTACATTAATTAGTCGACAGGTGGTGCATAAATCCACTTTTGTACATCATCAATAATAACCGGAGATTCTAGTATTGTTTCACCAGAAAAAAAAAATGGTATCCAGAGCTTATTGCAATAAAATGAATGTTTCTAACGCATTTCGTATGTATCAAACTTATAAAATAATGTTGGTTACTCTTATTTTTAAAATCTAAGCATAAAGATCATATCCAGTAGACAATACTTCAGTCTGTACTCTGTAGTGCAATCTGAAAGAATAATTGGTAGGCAGCTCATCCGAGTTTAAAGAGGATGATTATTAGACTTGAAACCCCTGATGTGTTGCTTAAATGGATAAGCATTTATACCTAACCATGGAAATATAAACATAAATAATCATGTATACCAAACCATAGAATTACTAAAAACTTTTGTTATATGCAGCACAATGTTATGTTTCTGTTATGAATATATTGAACTCCTAAAATTACAGCTTCAGACTATTATCACTTCAATGATCTATTGACTCCTGAGGAGCAGGCCATCAGAATAAAAGTGAGAGAGTGTATGGAAAAAGAAGTAGCTCCAATAATGACCAAGGTACTTTCTTATGCACCCAACTTTCTGACAGTTCTGCATCTGGTAACTAATACTGACATTAACTTTGGTGTTTCCAGTACTGGGAAAAGGCGGAATTTCCATTTGAAATCATTCCAAAACTTGGTGCCCTGAGTATTGCTGGTGGGACGATCAAGGTAATTTACACAATGTGCTTTGGTTTTTCACTATGGCATGATACTTATTGTAGGTTGGATGTTTAACTTTTCAGGGTTATGGGTGTCCAGGTCTCTCTATTACTGCTAGTGCTATTATTGCAGCAGAATGTGCTAGAGTTGATGCCAGCTGCTCTACTTTCATTTTGGTGCATTCTTCTTTGGCAATGCTTACTATTGGTATTGTTTATTTTTCTCTTGCTTCTTAGTCATTGAAGGTTTGATTTTTTTTTTCCTTAAAAAAAAAAAGATACATAGAAATGATTGATAAATGATGATTTTTCAATTACTTGTTCATCTTCCAAGAATAGCACTGTGTGGATCGGAAACACAAAAGCAGAAATATTTACCGTCATTGGCCCAACTTAACACTGTAGCTTGCTGGGTGAGGATGTGTCACTTTTTCTGTATTCTGTTGGCATTCCTTATACTGATTCTAGTCCCCGCGTTAACTCATATCGTTCTTATGCATCTTAGGCTTTGACTGAGCCAGACTATGGAAGCGATGCAAGTGCTTTGAAAACCACAGCAATTAAGGTCCAGGATCTCAATCTTTTTCATATATTTTAAGTTGCGTGGCCCATCATTGGTTCTTCATTATAAGTTGACCAAATTTAGTTTTGAAGTGTGTTCTTTCTGTGTCCTGGAATGGTCAGGTCTCAGGAGGTTGGATCCTTGAAGGTCAAAAGCGCTGGATAGGAAACAGCACTTTTGCAGATGTATTGGTTATTTTTGCTCGGAACACTTCCACAAACCAGATAAATGGGTAATTGAAACTTGTTTTATTGTTCCATTTGCATCATTATGCATATTGGTGGATTTTCAAATTAGTGAATAACTGATAAAATCATCATAAACTCTAAAGCTGTGCATCCAAGGAGATGCTGTTAACTGTATATGCGCAAAGTCTCTATCACCTGTTTGCCAAAGGATATACGAGACTAGGAATTGTTGCCATGTGATGGTTCAGAATTGTCTGGGTTTGAGCAGTAGGATGGTCGTGCTAGGATTTGTGAGAAGATTGTTAATATGTATATAGGGGTTGTTAGTTACATCAATGACTAGCTAGAAAGTTTTTACAAGAATCTACTGAATGATGCTGGATTTAACCCCTTCTATTATATATTTTTTTTCCTTTTCTGATATGTACTTTGTGATTGCGAGTTGCAACATCCTAACATATTAAGTGGCTTAACCATTTATAGGAGTCCCATAATCTGTATATACTTATTCTTTCTCTAGAGCATGACATGTGCTTCTGTTTCAGGTTCATAGTAAAGAAGGATGCCCCTGGATTGCAAGCTACTAAAATAGAAAACAAAATTGGCTTGCGGATGGTTCAGAATGGAGATATTCTTTTGAAGAAAGTTTTTGTCCCTGATGAGGACAGATTACCTGGTGTCAATTCTTTTCAGGATACAAACAAGGTATGGCGGTATGGAGCCAATATTGTAATGAATATTTTTCATCTCAAATCACTTAAATATCATGTGTTTTTATCAATCAATTAAATATCATGTGTTTTTATCAAGACGTAATGTTCTCTTTGGTAAGTTTCCCTAAGAGTAGTTGTGTAAATCTAATCTAACTTGTCCTGTAAACTTACCACTGTTCTCTAACCTCACCCAATCATTAGCTTTACTTTATTGCACAATCTAAAAGTGTATGACAGGGGAAAAGAAAAGGAGATTTTGGAATCTTATTGTGAAGAATCCTCCTTCCTCATTTTCATCTTGAGTGTCAGAGTGCTGATCTTTCGACATATTACGTGGTTACTTTGCCAATTCGTTGCACATTGAAGAATTAAGAGGAGTTTGTATGATAGGTGACCAAATAAGGATAGCCATAGCGATGCCCGTGTATGTTGCAGGGACTACTCTAGTCCTTTCAAGATTGCTATGTCGACTAATGTTGTTTACAGATGCCGTTATGGCAATATCTATATATAACTTGTATCACAGTAAGGGAGGCTTCTTTCATATTTGCAGCTCTCTAATTTTTTTTTTTCCGCTCATGATCCACGTCTCTCTCTTTTGTCATCCTTTCTAACTGTTTCAATTCTGATGAAGATGTGAGATCTATATAATTCATTGTTTGTGAATTTATGAAAAGATTCCAGATTGTCTTATATCCCTGAATCTTGTTGGCAATAAAATGGTGTACAGCATAAGTGGAAAACCTTTGTTTGAGCCAATTTCATGTAAACTCTTCCTTGTGGATTTCTAGATGGCCCTCTAGGCAAAAACTTCCATAGTTGACTATGGATCTGTTGGTACGTGTCACGTTTTCTTACTGAACTTGCTTCAGTGCATTTTAGCTCCCATGGCTAGTAGTCTAAGTATTATAGATGTTTGCAAGCTTAGTAGAAACTCAGGCTTATGAGCACAAAGTGATGTTCTCATTTTTGGGTGTTTGAATGGAGGGAGGGGAAGGGGAGGAGGATGTTATGAAAGAAGTGGATCTGTGCCAGGTCTCTTAGACCTTTATGGTCTGTTTCCTGAGATATTTTCAGTTATAATTGCCATCGATCTGGTTACTTTACTTTGCTGTTTTTGTCTTTCATTTGTTCTCTCAATTTTGTGTAATATCTATGCCACTTCATCCTTTTTCTTTGTAATTTATATACTTCTGCTAATAAACCAGCAAAAAAAATATATATACTTCTGCTAATCCATTAAGTGCTATGTGGAAACAGGTCCTTGCTGTTTCACGGGTCATGGTCGCCTGGCAACCAATAGGAATTTCAATGGGTGTCTATGATATGTGTCACAGGTATCATAACAAAGAAATGCTCTACTTTTGGCAAGATATTACATGGGGGAAGTTTGTTAATGATGTTTTTACTCCCTGAAACTCACATGGTAGATTTTATATGAAGTAGTGGTAAAGAATAAGGAACTAGTTGCCGATAGATTTCTAATCTGATGCTCCACGGTGGCAATGCGTTGGCTCTACCCCTAATCAACCTTTCCATCTGAAGCAATTAGCCCCTTAATTGCTTTGCAATGAGCAAAGCAAAATGGTCAACCATGATGTTCCTTCGAGCTAAAGCTCACTTAATGATTGCTTTTCTTGTGCTCAACCTTCATTATCCGGCAAAACTCACTTTTTGTTGCTAGTTGTGAGATGTTCATGTTCAAGTATCAGAGTTCTTTCTAATCTATTTTTCTTTTTGTTTGTACTGCTTTATGTGTTGGAAAGTGAGAGGTGTTTGAGATTTAGAATGAGTGGTTTCACATCCTTAACTACCGTTTTACTTAAAAAGAATCAAATGGTCTCAATTTTCTAATCTCCGGTCGTCAATCTCCAAAATAAGTACAACCATGATAGTGGCATAAAAATAAGCATAGGGACAGAAGTCCACTATTGCTTCCATTCTGGAAATCATACTTGTTGGTAGAAGTAAGAAAGGTAGGATAGGCTGGTCCATTATTTAATATCAGCAGAGCAACAGATTTTTAGGTTAACATTCCCTAAAATATGAGCTAATCTATTCATTTGATGTGCTTTTATCTTTATGATATCGAAAGATACTTGAAAGAGAGGAAGCAGTTCGGAGCTCCATTGGCAACTTTCCAAATAAACCAACAGAAACTAGTTCAAATGTTGGGTAATGTTCAAGCAATGATTCTTGTTGGTTGGCGCCTTTGCAAGTTGTATGAGAAGGATAAAATGACTCCTGGTCATGCTAGCTTGGGGAAGGTAACAACTCCTTTATTTTTTAGTGAACGCATGATGTCATTCATTTAGTGATTCTGGTGCACTGATGAATAATCTTGTTTATACTCAGTCATGGATTACCTTGAGGGCCAGGGAGACTGTTTCTCTTGGACGTGAATTGCTTGGTGGCAATGGAATTTTGGCGGACTTTCTAGTCGCAAAGGTTTGTAGGAAAATCTCAATTTTAAAGTTTTTTCCACATCTTGGCCAACAGGATGATTTGTTTTTGATTTAAGCTAGGTAAATGATAATGCTGTTTCTTAGTCACTAGACTATAGGTTAAGCCTTGTCCCATCGTAAACAGTTATAGCTAAACATTGAGGGACTATCTCGTCTTTGATACATAGACGTGGTGATGCAGAACGAGTGGCGGAAGTTTTGGTGTTATTTCTACCCGCTTCCCTGCATCACATGGAGACATGTATGTTTACCTGTTCATCTTTAAGCCGCCTTTTTGTAATGTCTCGAGAAAAATTTCTGGTGCAGGCATTCTGCGATTTGGAACCAATTTACACGTATGAAGGCACCTATGACATCAACACATTGGTTACAGGAAGGGAGATTACTGGTGTTGCTAGTTTCAAGCCGGCTGCATCCACCCAACGGAGCCGCCTGTAATGCTGTTAACTCAATTTCTTTGGGTTACTTGGGAGCTTTTTTGTTGTGAATTATGCCCCACATTAGTTGGGATAGCTGGTATGTTACAGTTGTTGAATCAATAATCATGCTGAATCCCGAATAAAGGATCGACAAAAATGGAAGTGTTGTAACGCTATTTATCATCCATTAGTGATGTTATGTGCCACTAAGTTCATCAACCCGACTCAAATGGTTTGGACGACCTAATTTTATCAGATATTTATGATTCGATTTGCATTACAATCATACAATCCGATGCAGGTTCAGGAGGGATTGAATAGGGCTGTTAATTGAGAAAAGTTATTTGGGTTTGATTCGGATAAATTAGGCTTGAGTTTGATTCGTTTTTTTTTTTTTTTGGTATCTCAATTCGAATTCTAAACGAGTTGAGTATGAATAATTTTTTAGGCTCATTTTTGTAAATGAGCTTAAAAGGTTATGTTCAAGCTTGTAAAATTTGGTTCGTTTATATGTAAAATAGTCGAGATATTCATGTTGAGCTCGAGTTTTAAATAAGCTGAGCTTGAACAATATTTTAGACTCGTTTTAAAAAATAGGCCATTTTCTACGTACAACCTCATTAAAAATATTTCATTACTTGATACACCCCTACCCTCTTAGCCCACCCCACTCCAATTTCTCCTCCATATCATATCAACCCCTCTCTCTCTCTCTCATATGAGACTTTGTTTTGTTTCTTCACCACTGATATGAAATAATAGACCTTAAAGTGTTGCATCAAGTTCGATTATAGACACAATTTTCACCACTACACCACAAGAAGCAAGGCCAACAACAACTTCACCATCTCTAAACCGACCCAAGCACTATAATGAAGGATTACACTTCTTTATACTGTTAGATAGCAACAACATAAAAGAAAGTACTATGCGACCCCCACTTTCAACTACCAGATGAAATTGAGCCGCCACAAAGGCGCTAACCATTAGCAGCAGATACACAAGGACAAACTGCACCGCTTTGGCCTTACATGCCTATTTCATCCTACAAGCTGTGGAAGACGGTGGCCGAGTCCAAGACTTGCGTGCTTGTCATCATTCAACATAAAAACCAATAGAACAAAAGTTTTAGATTTAGACATCAGACATGACCTCAATATGAGTAAAATTGATTCAGAATAATAAAAATCTAACAAAAAACGACACGAATAGTATAAGCTTAGAACGTCCTTTTCCCAACTGAATTAAACAGCAGTAGGCCTCAAATCAAATCCTTTGGGGCTGTTTGGTTGGTTTTTTGGGAGGGGTTTAAATTAGTTTGTCCAAACTTTTCCAAATTCAAAGATGAGATTCAACATTTAATATCGTCCATACCCATATTTAGTATGCGCACGAATATATGACTATTATGATAATATATTTGTATATAAATAACTATTGTATCCATTAATCAATTTAATTCAAACTCATATTTGTTTACGTATATGAGATATATGAGGGTATAAATATCATTTATTAACTTAAACCCATTAGCCTACATATGAAACCCACCCCCGGTAGGTTTTATGAAACCCATGAACTTGGGTTTAATTCTCGGATTTAATGCGGGCTGAGTTTTAAATCCTAGATTAACTATGGATTTATCAAACATGGGGTTGTTGGGTTTTGTTCTCTAACCCATGTTCCAAAATTCCTCCAAACCCACGTACCAAACATACCAAACAGGCTCTTGGAGTGTCATTCGATTACATTTACAACATCAATTTGTTTGGTCTATTAATTAGTGACGATTGTCTAAAACTCCATGCAACATACAAGTCGATTTATTCTTATATTAATTAAAAATAAAGTTTACATAACGTGACAACTTACATTACATAACATTAAATGATAAAAAAAAAATAGACGAAAAGCATCGGTATTATATTATCATAGGGGCTCAATACAATAATAAACTCCACTCAAAATCTAATTGTTGGAGTTTCTGAATTTTCAAACTTAGTGTGACATACAGCACCATTCAAAACTCACCACCTCCATTGTTTGCCCTTTGCTCAGCCTCTCTCTGCATTACTAGCATCCGAATCCTAAGCTGAAGATGAGTTGCGGCAGCCAAGAACTTCACATTCTGGATTGGATTTAGTATTTTCACCACGCTCTCCGCCGCCGTCGTCCTCAACTTATCCGCTGTATGAAGCACCGCCTCCATCGCCATCCTCAACATCTCAATCACCGAGTCCACCTCCTGAACCTCCCCATTCATGAGTTTTCGCCCCGCCCGCCTCGGTAGCTCCACCACCGGCGGCGCTGCGACGCTCTCCTAAATCTTAGCCAACTTTTCCATCAGCGTTTTCTCTTCCATTTTAATCACAGCCTTCAATAGCTCCATTTTCCGAATTTGATCCTCCGACAAGTCATCCACCGAGTTCATTCCCAGCCGAATTGCAGATCCGGGTTTGAACCCGGCAATCCAAAATTAAGATCTCTCGAAGTGACTGAACCAAGTATTTATGATTCGATTTCCATTACAAGTATTGACGCAGGTTCAGGAGGGATTGAATAAGAGTATTAATCAAAATGAGTTATTTGGGCTCAGTTTAGATAAAATTCGGCTCAAACTCGATTTAAGTTCTAAACGAGTTAAATTTGAATAATCTTTTAGATTCGTTTAGAAAAATGTGTCTAAAATGTTTGACTCAAACTCGTAAAATTCGACTCATTTATCTGTAAAATAGTCAAATTATTCAGATTCAGCTAGGACTTAAGCTCGCTCAAATTCTAAATAAGTCGAGTTTAAACAATATTTTAGGTTCATTTAAAAAAATAAGCTCTTCAAATTTGAGCTCAAGACCACAAAATTTGGTTGGATTAACACCTAAAATTGAGCTCAAACTTCACCACATTTCAAATGGTCAAATTGCGGCAACCTACTGGACGCTTTTGGCCTCCTCTCATTTTTGGGTTTAGAAAGTGCTAAATTTATCAAATTAGGGACCCAAACTATAGCTTTATTTGATGTTGCAAAAGCTCAAATAACTAATCAGATATTATTGATCACCTTATTTGTTGGATGGGTGGGACTATTCTCACCTCTTTCCTACCTAGACCTCATTAAAAATATCTCATTACTTGATACAACCCCTACCCTCTTAGCCCACCCCACTCCAATTTCTCCTCCTCAATATTAAATCAACGTCTCTCATTCTCATTCTCTCATGAGTCTTTGTTTTGTTTCTTCATCACTCACAGTGTTGCATCAAGTCAGATTTTAGACACAATTTCCACCACTACACCGCAAGAAGCAAGGCCACTAGCAACTTCACCATCTCTGAACCGACTCAAGCACTATAATGAAGGGTTACACTTCTTTATACTTGATGGTGGATAAAACGTGATTGAGCAGACTATGTACACTACTGGATTTGAACTGAGCTACAAGGTTCTTGGAAATGATGTGGTAACTTTTTGGAAGAAGGTGAAAAAGAGGGATTGCACATAGGAGTTATAATGGTTCACCAGCTCTAGAGCTCGGTTTATCCACTCTTCAATGGAGTCTCTTGCTCATGGGGATTATATCGAAGATAAAAAAGAATTACACAGTCTTCTTGGTACTATTTTTGTTGCCTGCCTCAAAGTGATGACATTATATAGTATTTATAGCCTAATTCCTAGTTCCATGGAGTCTAGGGCGAGATATTCGTTTCTCTCTTGTAACGTTTTGCTTGATTTCAAACGATGGTTTAGGCGTTTGAGTTTCTTGTGCCTAAACTGGCGTTTTCTACCGTTGAGGGGGCGTTTAGTGGTTGCCAACCGTCTTTCACTCATTTTCTTCGAGGCGCAGGTCGAGAGAGTCCAAGGTCTGGACCTCTGAGCTCGAATAACTTTAGCTGAACTCCCTTCTTGACCTCAATACCCGAGTTCAGACTTAAAATTTTTCTAGATACCATCAGCTGCCCCCCAATCCCTGGTCAAAGTATATTTGAGGAGGGGTTGAGCTGTGACTGGGTCGAATTAGGTCTCCTTAGGTTGACCTCGATTTGCATGTGATGGGACTCCATTCTGGCAATTTTGCTGAACGTGCAATCATTCCTTCCTTGTTTCTCTTGCACGTCCCATATTTCGAGGGCCCACGTACACTAAGTTTTAAATGCTCCGGCGACGAGGAAAATTGTTTCCCTTCACCTTTTAACTTCTTTCCCTAGGCTTTGCTCCTTTTCTTCCCTTGCGATTTTTATTTCCTCAATCCACTGAAGATCTTAGGGTTTCACTGGAAAACAAATTCCCTCAATTTGACTTGAAGATTCTGTGAGGCTTGCTTTCCGATTCCGCTTTGGTTTATCGCTCGCTCTTGGTTAGATACGCTTTTTGGCTTTGTTCATTTCTTCATTCTGGATCACTCGAATCCGAGGTGGTTGTTGTATTTTTTGACCTTTCGATTTTGCTACTTTAAGAATCGAGGTTACTCCTTGTCCTCTCTTCCCCTCTTTCTAGACCCTTATTCTACTGCTAGAGTCTTCCTCATTGGTCATTGGAGTCTTGACCCCTCAACTCTCAGGGATTGTTTTGCCAACGTCCCATTTCCTTATTCCTCCCTTTATTTCCTTTTTTCCAATCCTGTCATGTCTGGCTCTTTCGAAGCTATTGCTTCATCGGTCTCTCTTGCTAAGGGTGAAAGGTCTGCTGGGGAGGAGGACGTCGATTTAGGTGATGTAGGCGATGAGATTGATAATTTTTTTGGTGTCGATTCTATTGATGTTAGAGAAGAAGTCGAGGAACGCCCTTCATTATCTTCTCCTGTGTCCATGAAGTCTTGGAAAGGAAAGGCCAAAGTGAGTGGCGTTGGGGTTTCTAGCAGCGCTGGGGAGGCTGAGGTTACCTCTCGGGCTTCAGACCTCGTGGGTCATAATGAGGTCACCCCTCATTTCATGAGTGTCATTTCGCCACAATTTGGCTTTCCTCGGGGTATGGAGCATTGGTGCCCAAACGTGGATACTCGGTACGACTCCCAGATCCCTAAGAAGGTCTGCTTCTTTGTGGCCGCTTTCAAGACCGACCTTCGTTTTCCAATCCACCCCTTCCTTAAGAGTGTCCTTCAACATTTCAACATTTGTCCCGCTCAACTTTCCCCCCTAGTATTCTGGTGGGTCTTCTTGTTTTCTTCAAGAAGCACGAACTTGGAGTTCCTACCGTGCCTTTGCTTATGAAGTTTTTCAATGTCAAGTTTACTCCTTTTGATGGTTGTCTGTATGTTTTCAAATGGGTAAAAGCCCGAACTATCATTACTGACCTCCTGAGTTCCCACAAGTGTTGAAAGAAGCTCTTCTTCTTTGTGTAGGGTAAAGAATGGGAATATAATCCTGGAGATGTAGCTGACACCCTCTTAGTGCCTTGGGCTTGGTTTGCCCCTGACAATCTGGGTAAGCCCTGCTTTAGTATGCTTGGATCAGCCTTGACGCTTTATTATGTTGACCTTGTTCTATTTGTTTTGTTTCACTTTTTAGGTATTCAACCCGAGCTCAGTGCCAAGAACAAACTAGTTCTGCTAAGCTTAGAGGATTGCGAGCCAGAGAGGTATTTTGAGCTCATCAAGCCCAAAGTGCTTCCTAAATTTGGGTTTAGTCCTCTAAAGGTGAGGGTTGAGACCCCTATTCCTATTTCTGTAACTGGAGTAGAGGAGGTGGCAGGTAACACTTCCTCCTTCTATCCTTAACTTCTGTCTTACTCTTCCTTTTTTCTCTCTGATCTGTTTGCTTTGGGTTTCCAGGTTCTAGCTCAATGGATCCAAGTTTGAAAGCTTTGAGGGCAAAGGTTAATCTGCTAAGGAAAGGCAGGAATAGGGGAAAATGCAAGGCCGAGGTCGGGTCAGGAAATGATTCTGCCCCACAGCCAAGGTCAGAACTGTCTCTTGCTTTTCCTTTTTCTTCCCAAGTGATTCTGATTCCACCTTCGAGTTCACCAAAGGTCGCACAAACCTCTCTTCCTAAAGGGACCGTGCCTTCCTCTCTTGGAGGGGGTCTTGAGCAAATCGCAATTTCAACCTCCTTCATCGACAGAGGTCACGAGGGCCCTGGAGAAGATTGCTCGCATCCTACCTCGGTCTTCCTCTCCTAAATCGATTGAGAAGTCTCATCAACTGCTACTGAGATACTCTAAGGTTGAGAAAGATTAGGGCTCCCTTATTGATAATGTGAAACGTGCTGCGAAGGTCATTGCCTCAATCATCCATGAGTCTGATATCCAAAAGGCTGCCACTATACCCCTCTCCACTTCTGTCACCTCAGTCTTGTATGGTGTTACTTCAGTAAGTTTCTAGTTTTCTCAAGTTCCATTTTTGTCTTGCATTGCTACTTCGTGCTGTCTTTAGCTTTTGGTTGTATTTGCTCCTAGATGTCCATTCATGTGAGCAGTTTGGTGAGCTGGATCAGAGCTCTGGAGATTTCAGCCAAGGCATCGAAGGCCTTTGAGCTCAAGGCTACCGAGCTGGCTTTTGCCAATAATGAGCTCAAAGCCCAGGTTCAGGACCTGCAGGCGCAGGTGCAGGGGAAGTCTTCTGTTATTAAGGGTTTGGAGGCCGAGAAGGAGAAAATCGAGGATGATGTCAAGAAAGCCAAGGAGGAGCTCAGGCTAAAAACTGACAACTAGGTTAAAGCTTGCAAGGAAGCCTTTGAGGCTTTAGATTCTTATGTGGCCATGAAAAGGGAATACAACGTTCTGGCTGAAGTGAATGATACTTTGCGGAGAGAGATTGAAGTTGAGAGAGCTTCCGTAAAAAAGAAGGATGCTTTGATTGCCAAACTGGAGGATGATGTTACCACCAAGTGGACCACTAGGTGTCTAGCTTTTCAAGACCAAGCTATGCGTTAGTACCCAGACTTGAATTTTGAATTTGATCCCCCCTCGGATAAGGAGGAGGAGGTGCTAAGCGTTGAGAAGGAGGTTGAGGTTTTGGTTTTCCCTGTTTCTGAGCTCGTTCCTGGGGGCGCTGAGGTACCTTCTTCATTAGTCAAGGCCTCGACCTCTGTGGGTACTGGGGTGTCTGTTCCACCAGCTGAAGTCCCTTCTTCTGCTCCAACCATTGTTTCTGACTTCCCTAGGCTTCCTTAGTTGCCTGGAGCTCCTGCTGCTCCTTCGTCTGCTATTACTTCTGAGGTTTTCGATCTTCTATGGCTCCTGAAAATTCTCATGAACCTCCTCTGATTAACCCTAATTAATGTATAAATTAATATAATAATTAAAATAATTATGTAAGATAAATCAGTTAAAAACTGTCAATTAGGGTTTGTGCGAAAAGTAGGGTTTTATGTGTGTTATGTATAAACTTCTCAGGATTTAATGCGAAATTGACGAAAAAAACGAGGAATAATGCATCAAAACTTAAAAAAGCAAAGGACCAAAGTGTAAATCACATAAAGGAAGAGTCAGCACTCAAGA